TTTACTGCAAGTGCTGCAGCCATCGGGAACAATGCCTATGTGGACGTGACCACACACAACCCGCCGGCGGCGGCTGGCATCATTTGCTTGGTGACTGAGTCCAAGGATTTGTGGAAGAACGGTGTGAAGGGGCTCGTGACGAAACATGCTTCGGAGATCACTCAGGCTTTGTCAGCAGAAGACATGAGGAGGGACTCTAAGAGGCTGAGGATTACCGACATGGACACTACTGCGAATCCTCCCAGGGCTGAGGCAGCAGAGACTGAGGAGTAGAGTATCATCCATGGAGTCCTTCTAGAGATGATTGTAGTCTAGGTTAGCATATCAATTGGCATTATACGAGACATTATTATACATGATCTAAGAACGCGACGCTATAATCATCCTGAGATAAGACATGACCAAGCTTTGCAAAGGGAGGGGTACTTGCCAATCACCACGAAAACCGATGTCTTTGCACAAGCATGGCATGCAGCCAGCAGTTTCGTTGGACCGTTGATCCCGGTGCGCTCAATCCTTCGCGGGAAGCGAATGACACCGGAGGAGAACTTCGCCAGCTATATCAATCCAGAGGACGCTAACTCTCCACTTAACCGTGTCCATCTCATCGGCACCCTGCACGGCGGGGGCAACAAGACAGACCTCGCACTGAGAACTAATCAAGCCTGGATGGAATTTATGCTTCAATATGGTGCATCGGTAGCACGCGCCCAACAGATGTTATCCATGCGCGACTCCGAGGCCAAACTAGAGCAGCTTAAGAGTACTGCCTTGCATTTTCACATTGCGCTTCCTGACTTTGCGGACATTGATGCTGACACCATCAAGCGCATTCAGCGTACAGCGGCTAGGAAAGGTCAGGAGCCGACGCTGCATCAGGCAGCTGATTTCACATTACCGGACAACCTTTTCCATGACGCTACAGGAGCTCCTGTCCCTTCCGGCACTGATCGATCCAAGTCTCATGGTGTGTACCTCATTGATGCCTCCGAAGCTGACACTTTCCATGCGTCTCACTGTCAGGCATTGCAACCGTGTGTCATGGTCATTCTGGGTCCTACATGTCCGTTGCGCACTAAAACGTGCCAGCCATGTAACCTTCCGGCCACTGATGCACAGGGCACTAAAGTTGTCATTGCCGCATGTGTTCATGTCCTGGGTGCCGCCAAAGCATTTTTGCAAGGCGCAGACCAAGCCGAAATTACTACCGAAGCCACTTCGGTTTTAGTTTTTACTGCATGGCGTTCTGAGGTCTCTGACCAGTTGTGGACACAGCTTTGCGAGGGTCCTTTACGTACCATCTGGAAGTTGTTTTCTATAGATCCTGCCAAGAATGTCGTCACTAAACCCTGGGGACGTAGTTGGCGAGCGGATAATGCACCTGTAGATCCGGATGACGCACAGAGTTTTCAAGTCCATGTCCGTGTTTACACATCTACTACATCCGCTATTTTAGCCCAGTCCGGTGCGCAAGGTATCTTTGTCAACCCCAAAGTCGCTGACGGTAACGCCATCGATCCCAACTTTGCAGTCATGTGGTTGCGTGACAAAACTCGTGATCAGGCCTTAGCCGAGGCGAAGCGAGTACCAGAAGTGAGTAAAACATTTCAGTTGCGCTGACCTTTTCACCTTGCGTTTCCCTCACCTTCCTTCTCGACTTGGGAACTGAGTTAACTGAAAACCAGTGTCAGAGTGTGTGTGTGTGTGTCAACCCCTGTGCCTAAGGGTTTGGATTCACCTCATGCAGGGGGGCGCAGCACATGCAAGGGACTGCGCCTAACAAAGCTACCTTGCATCTGGGAAGCAGAGCCTGATCAGCTCTGTGTACCTGCTGAGATTTTT